CTATCCCCGGCCATGGAGCTGACCCACGTGGCGCAGCAGACCTCTCCATCTCGTCCTCTGCTTTCCTCAGCAGTATATCTCAGTCGACCCGCCTGTTCTGCACCTCACTCTGTCTCTGGTGAATTTTTTTATCCCTGCACCTCTGGCCTGCACCCCAGTCCTTCTATGCCAAAAAAAAAAAAAAAAAAAAAAGAGAGAATTGACATTACTACAAATTTGGTCTTCATTAAAAAGTAATCCTGCAATTAATAAAAGTCTCCAATTTTAGGGTTAACTTTGAACCTTTAAAATTTAAATAGCAACAACATGGCATTTAAATTAATCTGAATATTCAGCAAAGACAGGAAGATAGAGGTTTCGATGAAAGGTAACAATTTTTTTTTCATAATCTTCATGATTTAGAAGCATTCCAGTATTTTATAGTCTAGATCCCCACATTAATTTGAAATGAATTTGACCCTTCAGATGCTAAATTTAACACTCCTCAGAACAAAACAGCCTTTCTCTTCTGCTTTATGGGCAAATGAACTAGGTACTTGGGAATGGTACTGTCTGGGCCTTTGAACCAAGACTAAAAGAGATGAAATACTGTTTGATGTGTATAAACATTAGAGAATCTATTTTGATTTAATAAAAGGATAAGTTTGTTTCATATCCTGTGACAAAATATTCCCCTTTTCCTGAAAAGGCTCTCTCCTTCCAACAATAGAGGGCTACTGTCTGTTCCCAAGGGAGGGGTAGGAGGTGGGTGGCAGAAGGTGGGTAGGGTTGCCATTAATATAACAGGTATCTTGATAGCTGTTACTTTCATTTCTCAAAATGCACTTGGTGGGAAGTTCTGAATGCAGTGAGGGGAAATAAATCTTTAACTTCTCCGAAACATAGGATTGCATGAAAGCATCAGGTAAATAGAATACCACAGCAACAGCATAAATTCATTATTTGCAACCATGCAGTTTCCTAAATCCCTAGAACACATTACTTGAAAAGCTTCAGACAGATGGCTATATACTTTAGCAATTTTCAACAACTGAACAGCCTAGCAAGTTAAACCCTACAGTCTTAAATTTCAGAAATGACTTAACTAAATCCTTTCATTTTTCAGACTGTCTCTCACATTTTCATCTGTTTTCATTAATCTATGAATAATGAGGAATGTTAGGTGCCTATCCACAGGGAAATGGTATTTTCAACATTCTAGGAGCCTGAAAAAACGAAAGGGAGAAAATCAATTTCAACAAAATATTGTTCAAGAAATCTTTAAGAATAGAATGTTCCTATTACTTAATATTTATCTGACTCTACCATTCGAGGTACACTTAGAATTCAAAGTCAACCCTTACCAACGTTAAGCATCTGATTTCATGTTTAGCTGAAGTCTCAATGGTCCCCAAGGACCAAAATGCACACCTCTAGTTTTGACTAATGTATCACACTTCATCTCTATTCTTTTTGGGTGAAATATATCGTACTGCAGTTGACCTTGAGACGGACTAACAGAGACACATGTGGTTAGAAGGCCTGCCATGTTCCATGATCAGGGAAGGCAAGCACTTCGGCAAGCCTCAGTTAAGACTGGGCTTGAGATTTCTGCTGCAAATATTGCAGAAAAAGTGCTCTTTTTCTGGCTAGAACTAAGAATGTGCTAGTAGCTTCTACGGGGCTATCAGATGGAAATAACTTGTCTGAAAATGAAACCCAAACCAATAACCAGATCCAGTCATACTTTCACTGGCAAGACCTACCCAAGCCCATTTGCATCAACCAATAATGTCCTTTATACTTAAGTCAGTTTGAACTGGTTTTGTCACCTGCAGCTTAAAGACTTCTGAGAGTAGCAATGTGACAACACTAAAAATAAAAACCATTGTTTTGGAGGTTTCCTCCTGATATGGACTTTCCTGCTGCTATACATTATCTCATTTAATCCTCACAATTCAGGAGAGCACATGTCTATTAACATTAACATTCGTGATTTTTTTGAACACATCCTATGTGGATGAGGGGTAGGGAATGCAGGGGGTGATCAATCTGAAATAAGGCGACCAGGGAGGCCTCACTTTCATGGTAGTAAAGTAGAGGCTATGTATCTTAGAACACTCGACAGATATTCATCAATAAAAGAATGAACAGCATCTAGCAGGATCAGGAGATGATCCTTACACTAACCCCAGAATAATCAATTGGGAGGCTCTTTCAGGAGACAAGGCCAGAGGCGATGAAGTCCCAACTGGCAACTCTGAGAAGGGCTCAGACAACAGGGTGTGGAGATGGAGTGCAGTTGGTCAGATCACTGGGACCGAGAAAGAAGGGGTGGAGTTTGAGAGGCAAGGAAGGAGACAGTAAAACATGCCCTAAGGATATATAAGCAAAGAGGTTCCTGGGTCCTCAGAACGACAAGTCTGGGCTGCAGAGAGGCTGAGACTGGAAATAGAAGATGCAGACTGTCTGGCATACAAATGGCAGTTCAGGTTTGGGCACTGCCTGGCAGAACCTCACCGTGAAGACAAGAGGAAGGGGCACACCACCATCTCCCTAAAGTCATTACAGTCCTGTTTGCGAGCTCCAGGAGCAGCTTTCTTCCAGACAAGGTCCGCACTCTGCCAGGGCACGGAGCACACGCCTTTGGTCCCCCGTGGTGCTTCTCCAGATGCCCGTCGCCATGCAGCTGCAGTCCTGGCTGCTATCCCGAGTACAGTCCCATTATTCACCTCTCTCCTCCTAAATTAGTTCATGCTCTCACATTAGGTGTGACACTAGCAAGGCTTTCTGGGGCTCCAAAAGATCTGAATTGAAAAATATTTTTATGTAAAGAAATGTTTAATTGATGTGAAATTGCTACCTTTTCCCCCTCCTCCTACCTTCCTGCTGACAAAGAACCCAAAGACCCAGAACAGAGGCAGAATCGGTGATGAGGTTCCCCCCAGCCCAGAATTCTTTAAATAACTATCAAAGTCTTAAAGAAACAAAGGAGGCTGAGAAATGGAAAGGCGTGGCTGCCAGCATTTCTAAGGCAGGTTTCCCGCTTCGGGAAGAACGTACCCTAGAGGGCGGCAGACCTCGCCGGCCGCGAGCCCGGAGGCCAAAAGGAGGTGCGGTCAGTGGGCGCTCCCCGGCCCCCTGCGTCTCTCCGGGCCACCGCCCACCGCACAGCTGCCGCCGAGCACGCAGTTTCCAGATCCCCGCGGGCAGCAGCCCGACCCGCCAGGGTTTGGGAGCCGGAGCCTGAGCTTTTGCTGTGGGCTTGATGGAGAGGTCCGCTCTCCCCCTTCCTCCGCCGGCTTAGGAGCCTGCTCTCACCCTCCAGGTCTCCGCCTTCCGGCACCCGAGGCTGGACAGCGTCTTTCCTCGCGACCGTCTCCGCCGCTCCTGTCTCGCTGCCCCTTAACAAAGCTGTATTTTCACGCTCACGTTCGCGCCTGGGTTTGTGTCTAAGGTTCTAAGTCCGAGTGTGAAGCGAAAATTCATTGAGCGTCCGAATTATCCTGGAGAATTCGTTTCTAAATCACAAGCTTGGAGGTACACGTGGTTAAAACACTCCGTAAAAGATGGGCAATAAATAAAAAGTACGGATGCAAAGTAGATAATTTGACTGCAAAATGGTACCAGGTAAATGAGTCTGGGCGCCCTGTACCTGTTGGCGCCTCGCGCCCTGGCGCGCGGGAGGCAGGCAGGCAGGCCTCACCTGTGCGCTCTCCCCAGGGCACCCTCAGTGCCCGGCGCAGCGCCTGGCGCTGCGTACCTGTTCGCTGGCCTGTCCTGAATTAGCAAACAGGCCTCACCTGTGCGCTCTCCCCAGGGCATCCTCAGTGCCCGGTGCAGCGCCTGGCGCGGCGTACCTGTTCGCTGGCCTGTCCTGAATTAGCAAACAGGCCTCACCTGTGCGCTCTCCCCAGGGCACCCTCAGTGCCCGGCGCAGCGCCTGGCGCTGCGTACCTGTTCGCTGGCCTGTCCTGAATTAGCAAACAGACCTCACCTGTGCGCTCTCCCCAGGGCACCCTCAGTGCCCGGCGCAGCGCCTGGCGCTGCGTACCTGTTCGCTGGCCTGTCCTGAATTAGCAAACAGACCTCACCTGTGCGCTCTCCCCAGGGCATCCTCAGTGCCCGGCGCAGCGCCTGGCACTGCGTACCTGTTCGCTGGCCTGTCCTTAATTACCAAACGAACGCCCGAATGAACGGATGCACACTAGATGCGCCCCTGCGGCGCGCGGAGCAGACGCTTCTGGAGGCGGGCGAGAGCCGGCGGGCAAGCTGCGTCCTGGCGGCCACCGGCCTCGCGAGGCGGTGGCGGGGACCCCGCACGTGCGCCTTCCCCCCCACTCCCGGGTGGAGGCGCAGGCCCCGCCCCGCCCCGCCGCGCGCGCACGCACGCGCCCCGCAGCCCCGCCGCCCCGCGGGCCACGCTCGGCCGCTCCCCCGCGCGCCGGCTGCCCCTCGCGCCTGCGTCCGCTGGGGGGCGCTGCCCTCCCACCCCGCGCGTCCGGACGCGGACGCCCGTGGTCCCCAGCGATCCTCAGCCCGACCCAGGGTGCGCGCGCCGCCTCCTACCTGCGGGCCGGCGAGGGGGGCGGGTGGAAGGGCTGAGAGGGGCTGGACGAGCCCGCGGAGGCGGGAGGCCGGAAAGCCAGAGACCGCGGTGGACGGTCCGGGCTCGGGCGCGCGCGCGCGCGCTCGGCCCTCGCTCCCACCGTCGACTCCCGGCCCGAGCCCAACCCCGCTGCCGCGCGCCACCTGCCTCGCCGCGCCTAATAACATCGGCACCCGGGGTCAGGTGGCCGCGCGCGGACAGCGCCGCCATTGGCCCGGCGGGGAGCGCAGGGCTTCGGGATTGGCCGGGGGGCGGGGCCTCGGCCCGCGAGGGGCGGGGCCTGGAGGGAGGCGCGCAGGGGGCGGGCAGGGGGCCGGGCTGGGAGGCGGCGGGGGCGGGGCCAGGCCGTGGTCCGCGCCTTTGTGCCCGGCGCGCGCTCTCCGCCCGCTCCGGCTGCAGCGTCCGCTGCATCAATAATTCAGAGCGGCGGCGGCGGCACCAGCGGCGGGTGCGGGAAGCAGGCGGCGGAAGCAGCGGGGACCGAGCCACAGCGGATATGCATCCAAGTGCGGCTGGGCAGCCGCGGCACCCCTGAGGCCCGGGCGGGGCTCGGGGTGCAGCGCTCGGGGGGCGGCGCTCGGGGGGCTCACTTGCACCGGGAGTGCAAGGCGGAGCAGGAGTGACCGGAGCGGCGTCGGCGGAGCTGCGCACGGAGCTGAGGCGGGGGCTTAGGAAAGGGGCTGGGGCGGGGGGGGGCGGCTGGCGCAGGCAGCCCCGGGGTGGGGGGCGGGGTGGGCGCCGGTGCCGCGATGCTGGGCATCGTGGAGCTGCTGCTGCTGGGGGCGGCGTGGCTGGCCGGCCCGGCCCGCGGGCAGAATGAGACGGAGCCCATCGTGCTGGAGGGCAAGTGCCTGGTGGTGTGCGACTCCAACCCCACGTCCGATCCCACGGGCACCGCTCTGGGCATCTCCGTGCGCTCTGGCAGCGCCAAGGTGGCTTTCTCGGCCATCAGGAGCACCAACCACGAGCCGTCCGAGATGAGCAACCGCACCATGATCATCTACTTCGACCAGGTGAGTGCTCCGTGCAGACTGGAGTGCTGGGGCCCGGGGGGCGGGGGGTGCAGGGAGATGCCCGAGGCGCTGCGAGGTCTCTGCGGAGGCTCGGGAAGGAGAGTTGGGGACTGACTCTTGCCTACGCCCCTTCATACCCGTCTCCTTGTAGGTGCTCGTGAACATCGGGAACAACTTTGATTCAGAACGCAGCACTTTCATCGCCCCGCGCAAAGGGATCTACAGTTTTAACTTCCACGTGGTAAAAGTCTACAACAGACAGACCATCCAGGTCAGCCGCAGCCTCAGGGCCAGACCTGGGCCCTGGTGGGGGGCGACCAGGCGCGGGAATGAGCAGGCCGTACGGGGTGGGAGGTAGAAGGGGGCAGATTCAGGTGTCCCGGGGATGCTTGGAGGATGCTTGGAGGACCTCATGTTTCTGGGGCTCGGACTGTCCCTTGCTGCTCCTGTCGCTGGCTTGGGGACCTAATTCCCTCCCCAGAGAAAGAGTTTCCTGCCTCCACCTTCTTGATCCCTCGAAAGGGGGGGGGGGTTCCTACGAACTCAAAGAATCTCCCGTAGTGGGTGCTGTTCCCGCGTGCGGCAGCTTTTCCCGACCCCCGCTCTGCGCACCGTGGGGTGTTTCCCAGATCCCCGGTCCTTGCGCCCAAGCTCGCGAGACGCCAGCGCGCTCGCCCTCCGCACCAAATTCAGGCGGCCTCCGGTGTCCCTTTGGGGGACAACTCCCGGTTTTTGAATTAGTAACGCAGCGCCCTATAGGGTGAGGCATGGAGAGAGATGAGAGGGGGCATAGTTCACCACCTCCCGGCTCCAGCATTGCCGCAGCCAGCACCCGCCGCTTTCCAGGTTCGCAGAGGTGTCCAGATTTCCTCTGAGCCCAGACCCACAGCAGAACGCAAGGCTGGGGATCGGGCGCCAGGCCTCTGACTGCTGATGCCACTGCAAGGGCAAATCCAGGCAGTGGCGGGCGAGGCGGCATCTGGGGAGGGAACTGAGCCTGGGGAGGGATGGAGCGCGGGAGTGCGTCTCTAAGCGAGGTTTCTCATCAGCAGGAAGCCCTGCTAGTCTTCTCCTTCAGAGGGTGGTAGCTGGGACCTGGAGGAAGCTGGGGGTTTTTGTTTATTTGTTTTTGAGTGATTGTTTCCCCTAACTGGAGTTGTCCGAATTTGCCTTTGAAGCTGGAGGCAGATGGGGGAGGGCGGGAGCTGGCCAGAGGCCTATGATCTCAAGGCCCTTGAGCTGCCTAAGGATTCATTAAACTGGGTGAGAGCACAGTCCAGATTGCTGGGTGTGCGCAAGGAATGCAGGTGACTCTCGTCTGGGGGGCAGACCCTTCGCCTCACCCACACTGACCGTCTTTAGTTCCCAATCGCCCACAGTAGCAAGCTGCAAAGAGCTCCTTTCCTCCTGCTTCCCAGCTCCTCCCTGCGCGCCTAGCCTTTGCGGTGGACCTTTCCTCTGGTCTCCGCTGCTGTTTGATACCTGCCTGGGCTCCGTGTCTGAAGTGGGCCTTTCTCTTTCCCAGGTGAGCCTCATGTTGAATGGCTGGCCGGTGATTTCAGCCTTCGCTGGCGACCAGGATGTGACCCGGGAGGCTGCCAGCAATGGAGTCCTAATCCAGATGGAGAAAGGCGACAGAGCATACCTCAAGCTGGAGCGGGGGAACTTGATGGGGGGCTGGAAGTACTCGACATTCTCGGGATTCCTGGTGTTTCCGCTCTGACCCGCTCGCCTGTGGAATGGAGGCAGGGAGAGGCAAAGGCAGGAGGCAGGCAGGAGGGGGAATGAGAAAAAGCTGAAATCTAGAGGACGAGAAAGTGGCAGGACTTGAAACTTCCTACATGTTGCCCAGCTGTATCCGGGTAAAAGGTGGGCCCAGCTGTGGGACAACTCAGTCCCGATTCCTCCTTAGACGACTTAATTCTGCTTAGCTCTGCGCACTCCCATTTCCAAAAATAAACTTGCCTCCCCCATGGCAGTTGCTGTAATCAAGAGAGAGAGAGAGAGAGAGACTGCCTTGTCATTGTTTCTCACCCCCATGTTCATGTTCCCCACAATTCATAAAGAAACTTCGTATTTCACTGTATAGCGTGAAATATCTTCCTCCTCAGTACCCCTCTGATTCCTTTCACGGGCTGAAATCTTAAGCGCCCCTTCCCTCTTTTTAGTTTGGAGAGGGGTGGGAAATAAGGGTTTGTTGGATTTTTTTTTTTTGGATGGGGGAGGCAGTTTTAATTTGGCAAGTATTGCTGTTCTTAAAACACTGCTCAAGAGTTAATAGCTGAAGAGACTTTGTGTCCTTGGCTGCTTGTTGCAAAGAAAGGACTCGCCTTGTGGTGACTGGTTTAAAAAAAATGTATATGTATAAATATATATCATTTGTACACGAAGAACTTTTCCCAGTGGAAACTGGCTGTATTTCCGTATTTCTATGTCCTATTCGGAGTGATCGTGAAATCTAAGGCTGCTTGATGTTCTGATGCTTGTCCATGCCCTAGTGTTCTGTGGCTCCACTAAACGCCAGGAGGTTCTTCCGGACGCTTCTTCGTCCTCTGTAACATACGTGTGAATAGCCAAGATTTAAATTTACTTTAATCCAATAAAGTTGAAGCAGGACTTTTATTTTTCTGAAACAGCTTTCTAAATTCCGCATCAACCCCCAGCTGCAAGGCTTGGAGGCTGGGTGTGGAAGGGCAAGTTTCAGAAGTTCAGGAGACTTGGGAGATGGCAGCATAGAAAGGCCAGGAATGCCAGGGCTTCCCGGAGAAGCCAGCCTGCGCTCCTTCCTGCTGCAGGCCCAGGGCCAGCCCTGCGTTCCCCTGTGCTCCATGCTTTGGAGCAACCGTAAGAAATTTGACCGAAATCTTGCTAGACCAGGCGCGGCTGCCGTCCTGGGAGTGAAGTTTGGGTTTTTCTCAATCCAAATACATCAGGAATAATTCCAGCTCGAGGAGCCAGAACCAGCCTGCCCGGAGAGGCACGCTTTCCACACCTTCTGCCCATGGATTTTTCCAACCCTCGGCCGCTCCAAAATTATCCCTGCAGCGTATGTTTGACACCACCGCCTCTGAATCCGGAGCCCGCCCGCCGTTCTACCCAGGCGCCCAGGGCCTGTGATTGCGCTCATCGCTGAACTTTTATTCAAAAGGTTCGTCCAGGAGTTTTGATTGTTTCGGAGCATAATGTGAAAGCAAAATTGAAATAAACGACTTCGTTTTAAATCTGAAAGTCTGACCCAATCCCTTCCACAGCGGGGAGGTCCAGCGCAGGAAAGCGGGTGGGCGGCCAAAGGTGCGCCACTGGGGGCCTTGGCTTGGCTGAGCTCCTTTGCTGCTCCTGTTAGAGGCTATTTCCTAGCCAGAGATTCAGGTATGAATTTGATTAGCCACCCCCCACCCCCAGGGGGTAGCATAAATAACGTTTCCCGATTTATTCCCGCGACTTGTCTGATGCAGGGATTCTCCAATAAGGCGACTTGCATTAAAACTCGAGTCCCGTTTGTTCTCTGCGCAATTCAGGGGACCCAGCTCTAGCAGGTGCTCTCTGCAGCCCGAGTAGCCCTCGACCCGGGAGATAGATAGGGACGTCCTCCCGCAGCGGGAGCGAACCCTGAGCACTCTCTTTTGCCGACAAGGGCAGCCCTGGAGGAATTTAAAAAGAAAAACTACTCCTTGTAAAGGAACACCTTAAGGAGTGCTTTCTCCGCTGCTGTCTTTGGCTTGGGAGGGAGAGCTGGGGCTGCAGGAGCCTTTAGCAACCGAACCCCAGCTCCGTGCCCACCATATACCGTGCACGGGGTACTCCCACCATATCTCAAGGGTCCCTTGGCCTTTTCTGGAGGACAGGGCCACCCAAGTGGCTCCAGGCTGTGCCTGACTCCCCACTCCGGCCTCTATGTCCAAGTGCATGCTGATGCAGTGAGCTCAACACCTAGGGAGTGAGTGCCTCCTGCTCTGAGGTTCCAGCTGGTCTGTTTCTGAGCAGGAGCCAGCGGCTTCTTTTGCCTGGATTTAGCGAGAGCTGCTTCGGCTAGGGCGGATCCCTGTCTCCTGAATGGCAGCCTGAGGCCCAGGTGGAGGTCAATGGAAGTCCCTGCTCTGGGACCTGGTGGGTGAACACAAAGGGGAGCAAATGAGTCTCAAGTGTGACTGAGAATGGGGAGTTCTCCCTGGATTCATCTCAGGACCCAGAAAACCCCTTCCTGGGGGAAGGTCCCTGCCTCCTCAAAACTCTGACCTTGGCCTTAGGACTTTTCTCTGACCAGCACAGCAGCATCTTCCTCCCCAGCTGACCTCTCCCCTCTGCCACAGGATGAGCTCATCTCCTGCTTAGGTCCTCAGGCCTGGGCACCTGCTATTGCTTGGCTTGCAGTGCCCTTGCTCCCCTTTGCTACTCCTCAGATTCCCTTCTCTCTCACCATCTAAGCAGTTCAACTAAAGGACACCTCAGGGAAGCTGGCGCAGGCACTGCGTTCCCGGGGTTCACCCATCCCTCCTCATGCTCCTACCAGGTCTTGTTTGTCACTGGTGGTGAAGGGAGATATCTGGGGCCTGGCCTGTCTCCCACTCCCAGTAGAGTTCAGGGGGCAGTTGTGGCCCACACCTGCAGCTCCTTGGAAGTCCTAAGCTGGTGCTCATGCCCAGAGGGCTCTGGGAAATCTCTAAACCCCCAACAACCTTCATCCTCAGGCCTGAACTTCCCATTAACCTGGGTGAGTTGTGGGAGGCTCTCTCCATCAACGCAGAGAGTAGTGAGCTTCGTAGGCCATGGCACTGGGCAGTTGGGCCATCTCCCTGATCTCTGGGGAAAAGGTGGGGCTGACTGTTACCTCTGGAAAGACAGGGAAGCCCCCTTTATCTTAAAATTGCACTTTAGCTGGGAAAGAACTAAAGTCGCCAACTAGAGTACTGCAGACCTAGGCTAGCAGCTCAATAAAGAGCCTACACGCTGATAAAACCTAACACTTCACAGTGGCTTCTCTTAAGACTCAGAAACCTCTAGACCTTTCAGGTCTGGGCCCCACCTCCTGCTCTCATCTCAGATAATCCTGCTCACATTAGAGCCTGTAGTGGTTCTAGGTCCAGTCTCCTCAGCAGCTTCATCTACTGAAGAGACTCCTCTCCAGTCCAGGTCACTTTGGTTACCTCCTTCATTCCTGCCTCAATAATATATCAATCACTTCCTCCAGGAAGCCTTCCTGATTGTCACTACCTGATCCTCCCTAAGGGCAGAAGTTCTGCTTGGGGTCTAGTGTTGGGAACTCAGGGAGGCTTCTAGCACCCAGGGAGCTTAGACCTGACTTCTAGGCCCTGGGTTCTAGAGCTTCAGTGAGTCTCAGACCTGAGCTGGGTCCCTAGTAAAGGTTTGGCCTTGTCCTCGGAGAGAACTAAGCAGCCTGTTGAGTAGCACCAGGATACTCTAGGTCCCACGCGGACCCCCTAATCTCTCTTTGCTCCTTTGCCAGGACTTTCAGCTTTCACAGAGCTGGGCGCTCATCCTCCAAGCTGCGCTGGAGCCTGGTAGCCCAGGCAAAGCGGCTGCTAATGAGACTATAGTTACCTAGAAGGAAAGAGAGCCTCACCCATTCCTAAATTGTTGCCTAAGTGAAGTGGAGTAGCCTTTGTGGGGGAGTGTGAGGCTGCAGGGAGGGGAAAGAAAGGACGCTCCAGTGGCTGGGGCTGTCCTGGGGTACTGAGAACTGAATGGAAGGTGACAACCCCAGCTGCGAACTGCCCTGCACTTGGCCTCTGGCGCTCTTTGCAACCAGAGACCACTCCCTCTCCTCTGCCTGAACCTCCCTTTCCTAACTCCCCAGCGAGAAGTGAGCCAGAAAACACCTAGGGTTTCCTCTAGGTTAGCTTGCTTTTCTGATCCATGCCTTCCCTTCCCCCAGCCAGCCTCCCTCCTACCAGCAAGCGCTTGTCACCCCAATCCCACTGTTTGGAACAAAAACAGTGAAAGCTATTATCAACTCTGGGGGGAAGCCAGCAAAGGGGGAGTCCAGCCAAAAGGGAAGGTGCAGGTACACCTCTCTTTGAGCCAGTTCAGTGGTCTTGGTGGTGGAAGGTTTCCCAGCGAGGATTGCAAAGCCCTCTTCATGTTTTTTTGTTTGTTTGTTTGTTGTGTTTGTTTTCTTTCATCTTCAGCTCTTTGTACAGGACTCTTTATTCAAGATATACCCACACTCTCTCCGAGCCTCAGTTTCCTCAGATTTCAAGTGGATAGTAATGCCTTCACAGTAGGGTAGCAGTGAAGATGGGGCTAAAAGATGATGCTATTATGAAAAAATGCTCAGCACTACCGGACACATAGTAAGTGCTGAATAAATGGTAGCAGTGAGAAGCAACGGACACCCGGGGATTACACACTCACTGAATCAGGACACAGGGAAGGGTGAACAGATAGAAAATGGGAAGACGAGGGGGGTTAGGAATTAGGAAAGGATGCCAGCCCACATCTCTCCCTGCCCCCTCTAGTCAACCACAGGAACAACCACAGGAACAGGAAATTTTGCTCACAGTTTGTGTGGACTGTGTGGATGAATATTCTTTGTCTGCATGTCTGCACACTCCCCAATTGAAGCCTGAGCCCTGTGTGCATGTCTGGGTCCATTTCAGGGTCTGGGCTGGGAATGCTACTTGCTCACTTCACTTGACACAGTGCCTCCCGTGGTGCCCCACAGAGGTACAGAGCATGTCCTCTGATGGTGTCAGGAGGGAAGCCAAATTGCCTGAACTGACTGCAGGACAAGACCTCAGCTAGCAGAATTGCCTGCCCCTCAGGGCCACCTCCTGGACTTCCCAGCTCCCCTGTCGCCATTGCCTGCAATGCTGACAGCATCGCTGGCTTGGAAGTGCCCCACACTCTGCAAACACAGGGGACCTACCCAAGCACCTGCACTAGAGTTCAGCCTGACCCTAGGAAGTCCCAACCTTGACCCTAGGATTGCAGTGAGCAGAGTTAGCAAAGAAGAAGCCAAGATCGGATGCATGGGGTGGTGTTCAGATTCCTTCCTGGGTCTTCTCATTGGACAAACACTTTCCTGG